GAGAGAGAGAGAGAGAGAGAGAGAGAGAGAGAGAGAGAGAGAGAGAGAGAGAGAGAGAGAGAGAGAGAGAGAGAGAGAGTTACAAGATTGGTTGTCACGTACCTGCTCAAGAGCGTTGTGCGGTCCAACGAAGTGAAGGGGCGGCCATAGCCGCCGAGGTCAGCCATAGAGTAACGAAGAAGGATGTGAGCAGAGAGACGGAGAGGGAGAGACCGAGCGAAGTAAGGAAGCCATAGTCGTGGAAGGTGAAGGGAGAGACGAACAAAAAAAAAAAAGAAAAAAAAGAGAAAGAAAGAAGATAGCCGGGGTGGAAGAAGAAGAAGGTTGGTGAGGAAAAGAAGAAGGCGGCAGCCATAGCCAGACGAAGAGTTGACCGGCAGAGTTGACCGGAGTTGACTGGGAAGTTGACCGGGGTTGACCACAACGTTGACCAAGCGTTGACCAAGGCGTTGACCAAGACCGTTGACCACGACTTTGACCAAGCTGGAGCCGGTATAATCTTGCCAAGCCTTCAAGCCTATCCCCTCGCCCTATGGATGTGCACACACCCTGTGGTACTTGCTGAGTCAAGTCAGTCTGTCTCTTCTTTCTGCATCGAGTCACTTCTGTCCAGGGGATAGGACTCTGTGGATGAAGGATAGGGCCTTGTTGACAAAACCCACACGGGCTGAGTAGGGCTAAAGACTGTGTATGACGACTCGACTGTCCCAGAGGACACGAACCCTCCCAAGAACCGGTACTGACCGGCGGGCTGCTCGGTGTGGCACAATAGGCCCAAAGTCCAAGATGTGGGCTGCACAACAGGCCGTCTAAGTCTTGAGAGGACTTGCTGATCGCGTCATCCTATTTGCGACGTTAAATAATTCCTGAGGAGTTACGGGGGATCTCTTTAAATGCCTCCTGATCAGCAGAGAGTCCTGTAGTGACAGCCTTAGAGTAGGTCCAGGCTAGTGACCCTAGTTGACAGGATCCTGTCCGGATTCTGTAGTCCATAGATGGAGTCAGTAGGTTGTGTCAGTCAGGGGCTAGAAGTCTAAGTGGTGAGGAGTGAAACTAATATCTAGTTGTGCACCTGACACCATGGTGGACACCCGTAGTGGGAAAAGTACAACCCCTTATACTCAGGCTCAAGAGGAGCAAATGACCGCCATTTTAAAAGAGAGAAAAGAGAAGAAGGAGCTCCTCAAGCAGGCGAAGTTAAAAGCAATTGCAGAGGAGCAGACGGCGAAGAAAAAGAAGTTGGAGGAGCAGATGATGAGGGTACAGAAGGAGGAGGAAGAGAAAAGGAGAGTTGTCAAAGAAGAAGCAGTAGAGGAGGAGGAAGCATTGGAAGGACTCCTCAGAAGGCGTACAGGAGAAAGAGGAGAAAGTAATGGCATGAAGGAGGAAGATAAGTGGATGGAGAAGACGATATCTGAATGGGTGGCTAATTTATCACAGGGAGAAGACGAAGAGGCAATGTTATTGTGCCTCAGGAGGAGAAAGTAGCCAGGGAGCTGGAAGCTATCGAGGACCCCCTGGACCGCCAGGCACTGGAGGATGAAAAAAGATTGGAGTGGAAGTTGCGTCTGGCAAGGGAGAAGAAGAGGAGGAGGGAGGAGGCCAACCGGATGGGCAGAGAAGTGGAAAAGATACAATCGTGTAAGCAAGAAGTGGGAGCACAGCAAGATATTCCGACCAAACTAGATAAGATCTTGAGTTATCTCGAGATTTTGGGACAGGCCTGGACTGAGCAGTATCAGGCTAATGAGGGCCAAGAGGTGACCCTCCATTCCATCCGGACCGGGTTTAGAGAGGTTGCGCGCGTCGTGGTGACCCACGTCGGGACCGAAGTTAAGAGACTAAAGGAAGGCGAAGAGAAGTTCTGTGCAGGCGCCATTGAAGGCGCCAAGGTAGTGGCCACAGCAGAGGCCGAGACGCCTCCCCGCAAAGAGTCTGTCAAGCCTAAATTTCCCGACTCTTATTGCGGGAAAAAGGACGATAACTTTGATAATTGGGAGGCCAGCATCAACACATATGTGTATTTACAGCATATTGCGCCAGAGGAACAAGTCCTCTTGGCCTTCCATGCGCTGACAGATGAAGCGGCCAGCTTTGTCTGGTCCCTTGCCCACGCAGCCGATTGTGAGCACAATATGGTTGCGTACTCTAGGCTCACCCCTCTTTCTACATTCCTCAAACTCCTGCGAGAGAGGTTCACTAACGTCACAAGGGGCGTCAGGGCCTCCGATAAGCTAAAAACAATCCACTCCAGGCAGTGGAAGAGTGCAAGAGCACTCAAGGCAGTGATGGATGACCTTGTAGCCATCCCAGACCGTGGGGTCACTGAGACCCAGTTGGTTAACTTATTTTATCGTGCCATGCCAGAGCCCTTGCAAGGGCATTTCTTTGATAAAACCCAACAGGCCAATATTACGTATGATGCGTTAAGTAGGGAAGTGGTCCTGTTCGCGGCAAAGTCCATGCCAGTTTCCACTTTCTGGCATAAGGACTTAGACAAGGGAAAGAAGTGGAAGGGACGTACCATCTCAGGTCAGGTTAGGGCCAAGGATCACCTAATCCTTACTTTGGACGAGGGTGGTACGGACGAGGTCCCCTACAGTCAGATTGATTAGGGGCTAGAGGAGGAGGACAATGGTGTAAGTCAAGGGAGGATGTACGCTGCTCTCGCAGCTGGAGGGAGGCCGCAAGGTAGAGGAGGCCGGGGCCAAGGGGGCTGGGCCATGGGTGGTCGAGGTCCGGGTGCACAGGGGGTTGGCGGTCAAAGGAACCGTCAAGGGGGAGGTAGGGGTCAAGGTCCCCCGCCGAATTGCTCAGGGCCTAGTCGATCGCCGCAGCGCAGAGGTGGAAGGTCACCTTAGAGGCAAGGAGGTTGACACCCAGGTTGGCCATGGGGCCGGCCTTGGGAAGACTTGGGCTTGTGTGCGGCAACAGCGTATGGAGCAGGGGCAGTGCATCTATTGCGGTGACCCTGCCCATATCATTAAATATTGTCCAAAGTATAGGGAAGCCCGATTCGCTGCCCAGGGGTCAAAAGGCAGCCGCCAGTAGGGGTCGCAACTGCCCCTTCCACTAGGCCATGTGGGGAAGTGTACGCGCACCGCCAACAAACTCCCACACCACATGAACCTATGGCAGAGGTTGCAGGCCAATGCCTAGTTAGTTGTCCAGAGACTGTCTGTGTTAGCGTCTCTCTAGGCACTTCCCTCACAGGCGTGGTAGAAGAATTGAAAGAAAGGATGCCAGCCTGGGCTAAAATGAAGAAGGAAAGTAAAGAACAACTAGTGTTAGTAGATGTAGAAGTTTTCAGAAGCAGAGTAGGAGCCCTTATAGACTCAGGGGCTACGCACAGTTATATTAGCCTTAGGGCGCTAAAAAAGCTAAGGCTAGGGTTAAAGGTCCAAAAGTTAACAGACCCCATAGTCAATGTCCTCGCAGACAACCGCACGATGGGTGTTGAGGACTACGTAAAGGGAGTCCAGGCGTATTTTCGCCTAGAGAAAGATGGGAAGGTGGAGAAGGTTCTCCATTCCTTGACTCTCCTCGCACAGGAYGACYTCCCTTTTGACATAGTCCTAGGTWTGGGCTGGGGAGAGGCAGCAGGGGCYASACTCCATTTGAGAGAGCATGAGTGTAGGCTCCCTAGTCCGTCAGGTGAGGTTAAGACGGCCCGTTTGTTTCACGTGTCAGGAGTAGACAACTCTCTGGCACATTGTTGTCTCAGTGCTCCCACGTTCGCGCGATTAGTGAGAAAGGAGCAGTTAGAGGAGCAGGTCTTTGTAGCTTATGTAAGGCCTGTCACTGAGCCTAAAGAAGACACACCCATGGATCCAACCATTGCCAAGTTGCTGGAAGAGTTTAAAGACTTAGCATAGCCGCCAACCGGAGTAGTACCGCGGCCGATCCAGCACCAGATAGAGATTGAGTCTGGCAGTAGGACTCCTAAGGGAGCAGTCTACATGATGCCCCCAAGGGAGCTAGAGGAGTTGCGCAAGCAGTTAGACGAGCTCCTAGAAAAGGGTTGGATTAGGCCCAGTTCGTCTCCTTATGGAGCACCAGTATTATTTGTTCCCAAAAAGGAGGGAGAGTAATGCATGTGTATAGATTATAGGGGTCTGAATGCGATCACAGTAAAGAACGCTGAGCCACTGCCCAGGATAGACGATCTTCAGGATTGGGTGCAGGATTGCAGATATTTTTCAAAGATAGATTTGAAGTCCGGATATCATCAGATAGAGGTCCATCCTCATGACCAGTACAAGACTGCCTTCCAGACTAGATATGGGCATTATGAGTTCATAGTGATGCCCTTTGGACTTACCACTGCGCCACCTACATTTCAGCGATGTATGAATGATTTGTTTAGGCCTTGGTTAGATAGATTCGTCATAGTTTATTTAAACGATATCTTAGTTTTCAGTAGGACCCTCCAAGATCATCATGGTCATTTGAGGCAAGTCTTGGAGAAGCTGAGAGAGGCTAACTTCAAGATCGATGCGAAGAAGTGTGAGTGGGCCAAGACACAAGTCTTGTAGTTGGGCCACATTTTAGACGGAGATGGCATTAAGCCAGAGGACAGCAAAATAGCGGCGATTAGAGATTGGCCAACACCCCGCACACTGACAGAGTTGCGGTCGTTCCTAGGCCTGGCTAACTACTATAGGAAGTTTGTGAGGAACTTTTCGACTATCGTCGCTCCCCGTCGCCAGTTGCTAAAGAAAGAAGCAATCTGGCAGTGGAACAAAGACTGTACGCCCGCGCGCAAGAAGTTAAAGCGCGCGTTGATAGAGTACCCTGTCCTCAAAGTAGCAAATTTGTCTTTGTCATTTGTCATCACCACGGACGCGAGTTAGTATGGTATAGGCGCCGTGTTACAGCAAGACGACAAAAATGGCCACAGACCCGTAGAGTTCATGTAAGCGAGGATGCCCTTAGAGAAGGTAGCCACCTCGACTTACGAGAGAGAACTCTACGCTCTCAGGCAGGCCTTAGAACACTGGAAGCATTACCTGCTTGGGAGGCATTTCAAAGTGTATTCAAACCATGAGACTCTTAGGTGGCTGAAGACACAGGCCAAAATGACACCATGAGATAGACCAGTATGACTTTGAGCTCAAACCGGTCAAGGGCAAGTACAATGTGGTTGCGGATGCTCTAAGTAGGATATCAGACTACTTTGGAGCTATAGTCCACTACCTGGCTGTAGGGACAGACCTGCAAGAGAAAGTAAGACATGCGTATGCGCAGAACCGTATCTATAGCGACTTCCTGAAGAGAGTTAGAGAGGCCCCAGACTCATAACCACACTACCGCACGACATAAGGATTGTTGTTCGAGAAGACCGACGTAGTAGACCGTCTGTATGTTCCCAATAGTGAGGAGATCCGCAGTTTGATATTAGGTGAATGCCACGATACAGAGGGATATTTAGGTTGGCAAAAGACTCTTGTTAACTTGATGCATGCGTACACATGGCCAGGAATGAAAGTTGACTGCATAAAATATGTTCGCAGTTGTAAAGTTTGGCAGAGGAATAAGACAACTACGCGTGCTGCACAACAGAAGGGTTGTTGTTCAAGAAGACCGACGTAGTAGACCGTCTGTGTGTTCCCAATAGTGAGGAGATCCGAAGTTTGATCTTAGGGGAATGCCACGATACAGAGGGACATTTCGGTTGGCAAAAGACTCTTGCTAACCTGATGCATGCGTACACATGGCCAGGAATGAAAGCTGACTACATAAAATATGTTCGCAGTTGTAAAGTTTGCCAGAGGAATAAGACAACTACGAGTGCCCCTCGAGGTCTTCTTCGACCCTTGCCCATTCCTGATCAACCTGGAGATTGAGTCTCCATTGACTTCATGGACGCTGGTGTCAAGAGTAGACACGGCAAGAGCCAAGTCATGGTCATAATCGATAGATTTAGCAAATATGCCTGCAGAGGCACGCACTGAATTAGTCATTCAGAAGTTTTTTTACCATTGGGTTAGTGATCACGGGATTGCGCTGTCTATAGTTAGCGATAGAGACACCCGGTTCACTTGTCAGAACTGGCAGGAACTCATGAAAGTCTATGGGTCAAAGTTGCTAATGTCGTCTGGCCGGCACCCCGAGACTAGCTGTCAGACCAAACAGATGAATAAGATCTTGCAACAAGTTTTGCGTATGTACATTAGACCCGATCAAGTCAATTGGGATGAGATGTTGCCCAAGGTAGCCAGTGCATATAATAACAGGGTGCACTTAGCCACGTGTCGCACTCCCAATGAACTGCACAAGTCCTTTAGACCGCACAAACCGTTTGAAGGACTTAACGGGGACCAGATTCACAGGTTACCCCCCGGTACCAGAGAGTTTGCGATACAGCACGAGAAGGAGTTAGCTACCGTTGTAGAGAACCTCAGGAAGGCCCAACACCGAATGATAGAACAGGCTAACAAGCACCGTCGCCTGTCGCAGTTTCAAGTAGGCGACCTGGTCTGGGTCAAGTCCAAAGAGTTTGCTCCTGAGGAAAACATCTCACAAAAGTTACTGCCCACGTATAGAGGACAATGGCCAGTTCTAGAAATTAAGGGCGGTGAGGATGGGCCGTCCTACACAGTAGAGATCCCAGCACACCTCCATACCTACCCCGTGTTTCATGCGTGAAAGTTGTTGCCATGTGTCACAAGTCAACAGTTTCCATCTAGAAGGTCCATGATCCCCCCAGATATGGACGGAAGGTACGACATTAACGGCATTGTAGGTGAAGACGTGTTTAGAACAGGAGGTAGAGGTCGTCCACAGAAACAGTATAAGGTCCGGTTTGCTTATCAGGAACCAGAGGACGACCGCTGGTTTACTAGAACAGAACTTCTAGAAACAGCTCCCGACATAGTTGGAGCCTACGAGAGAGATAAGAAAGGTAAATGTCCCGCCTTGGACTGAGTTATTCTCGGAGGACCTCGAATTTAGGCCGGTCGGAGTGAAACGGTATTCACCTGCTAGCAGTAGCGAATGCAGATCCCAGGGCTCGATCCGTAGACCTTACCTTACCTGTGTACATTACCTGCGTTGACCCCAAGAGTTGAACCCGTGACCTGTGTATTCGTAACAGTTGGTAGACTGTCGTAGGGTCCGTAGGTGGTAGGGGTTCGATCTGTAGACACGTCGGATAGAGGTCTTAGGGATTTCTAGAAGTTGTAGCTGTAGGACTTCTGAAAGGTCAAGGTCGTAGCTGCTACGGTCCTGAAAGGTCAAGGTCGTAGCTGCTACGGTCCTGAAAGGTCAAGGTCATAGCTGCTACAGTCCTGAAAGGTCAAGGTCGTAGCTGCTACAATATTCGAAAGGCGAGGACTACAGACTTCCGGAAGGTCCCAGTAGTGGCCTTTCGAAGTTGGTTCACGTCTAGACAGAGGCAAGTTAGCAAGTGGTGGAGTCCACCCTTGCTGAGTCAGCGGTACCAGTCCCAGTCAGTCCTAGTCCAGTCAAGCAAGTGCCGTAAGGGACTGTGTGCACCACGGGCATGGGAAAGGGGCAGACCAACGAGTTAC